GGGGGGGAGGTTAATGTCGATGGCCATTGACTCAATGGAGGGCGACTTCGTTCTTCGAGAGATGATCATAATACATATTAGAGAAAGTACTGGGGTGGACCCCGAGGCCCCACAATTGGAAGAGGCAAATGTGGACGTGTTGGTGCGTCCCGAAGGGGAAACGATCGAGGAGGGGGCACTTGACAGCGACCTCGCACTTTCGAGGCAAGAGAAGGCTTCATCTTCTCGGGCGGCAGTGGATGTTTCTTTGCCCGATGGTGGTAGGGGGGGAAGTTGTCGCCGAGGATAGCGATGAGTTGGGCTTTGACATCGATTTAGACGATCTAAAGATGATCGATTAGGGGCTCACCCAACTCGAGGTGAGACTAGAGGGGTGTCCAAGGACCATCACGATCCCAATGGATCGTTATTTGCTTGTTGATACGAAGGAGGTAGTCCCTACCCTCGGTCCTCTCTATTCCGACATCGAGAATGAGACCCTCAAGAAGATAAACGACAACACTTTGTCGAAGAGTATCCCCGGCCTCGTCCTTAATGTAAGTATAACTACTACGTGCCACATTCCTTATGCCTTAGCTTGTTTTTAAGTTCTAAAATTTTTCTTCGATCTGTAGACGGTCATTCTGGAGATCGAGAGTGCTCGTAGGGAGAAGAGGCGCAAAGAGATTTTTGTGAAGTTGAAAGGAAAGTATATCGAGTACCGCGAGAAATACCAGGATCTCCGAAGTTAGCTTCATGAGGGCAGTGATGTGCGGGCCCTGAGGGAAGACTTGAAGAAGAGCTGATGGAGGCCGTAGAGAAGTGGAGCATTCTCGAGGAAACGTTGAGGAGAAAAGAAGAAGAGTTCGAGCTCAGTAAGGGTGTGGAGGACCAATGCAGCGACCTTCAAGCTCAAGTGGTCCAACTGCGAGGCCAGCTTAAAGAGTGCCAGTTCCAGGTAGAGGCTCTCAGGGGTGAGATTGCCGAGAAGCAGGAGGAGCTCGAGAAGGTAGAATCCTCTTGGTTAGATGCTCGGAAAAAGGTGGACATACTTGAACTGGCGAACAAGATTCTTCGTGCTGAGCGGGAAAATAATAAGTCGATGGCGATGGCTAAGGAGGACCGGCTCGAGGAAAGAATGGGGGAGATGGACAAGGAAACCTCCGAGTTGTATGATCGAGTTGATGCATTTGAGGCCGAGAAAGCCCAACTGCTCGAGCGACCTTCTTCGTCTAATGCTTCTGATTTCCCGAACATCCCTTATGATCTGTATGAATAGTGGATTCATGCGGAAGCCCGACTAGATGTGTTCTGTGAGTTGCTTGCAACATGCTCTCTTTCTGAGGTGGCCCTTGAGGATGCTCGGGTCAAGGCTCGCAATGCTCGGCTTGCTTGTAGCTATGATCTAGCTATGCCCCGCCCTGGTTCCTAAAGGGATGAGGATGAGGATGTAGATCGACTCGCAGACGGTGCTTGGTATGATTCTGCCTATGGTTAGGATGGGGATGGCAAGGGCGTTGAAGGCCTAGACGGTGATGACGTTGAAGGACGAGACGACGAAGGTGTTGAGGGTAGTGATGGCGAGGGCCAGTAGTTTTGTTTTAACTCTTTTTTATATTTTTGTTGGTGTATTTGTAAAAATTCTTCAAGTATGAATATCAAGGTTGATCTATTTTTTATAAGTACCTTTTTTCATTTGCTGCGATTTATTTCTGTACTTGTATGTTTTGCTTCTTTGTTTGTATGTCTTGCTTTTTTATCCTTTTTATTGTCGTCGTCTTCTTCCATGAGTATCTGGTTATAACCCGAGTATGCGTCCAAGAAACTCAGCAGTTCGTGCCCGGCCATTGCATCAATGAGTTGGTCGATATGTGGCAATGGGAATGAATCTTTTGGGCATGCTTTGTTTAGGTCTGTGAAGTCTACACACATCCTCCATTTCCCTTTTTTTTTTTGACCATCACCACGTTGGCTATCCAC